AGCATCCTCGTAACAGACTCGACAGACAGCTTATCCGACGAGAACAAATACCTTCACCGTGTTTTTACGAAGAACAACTACAACAACGACTTCATCCGACGAAACACTCACCGACCCACTACCACTACCGAAACAAACGACACCGCAACCCCTACGACTACAGCAACCATACCGTACATAAAAGGCATGTCTGAAAACATCTCGCGCATCTTACTACCCTTCAATATCCGCGTCGCCCACAAACCCATCACCACACTACGTCAGTTACTAACCAACGTTAAAGACAAAGACGAACCGAGGAACAGACAGGGAACGATTTATAAGATCAATTGTTCCGACTGCCAAGCCTCCTACATCGGTGAGACTGGCAGAAACCTCACAACAAGACTGACTGAACACAGACGGGCGACGAGGAAAGGTGATGTCAGCAATCACATTGCTGAACACCATCGACTTACCAACCACAACATTGACTGGGACTCTGCGCAATGCCTAACCTACAGCACTGACTATTTTCAACGACTGACTCTGGAAAGCTGGTTTACTAACTTAGAACAGACTCCCCTGAACAGATGTCAACAACTACCCGCTCCATACAAACGACTCATTCACGACATTAACATCACAAACGACCGAAAAAGAACGATCTAACTTTACCGACAGATCGATACAGACCAATCACGACCGACTTACAGCCAATAACATCACGGCAAAACCAACCGATCATTTCACACGAACTGGAATAAGAACATTGGCACCACCAATGTAAATGTTTTCTCAACGCTGTATCTATCTCTGGTTCGACCAATTCTTGAATACGCTGTACCCGTTTGGCGCCCTTACCTCCTCAAGGACATTCGCGCCTTGGAGAGTATACAAAGAAGGGCATCTAGATTAGCTCTTAAGCAACGCAAAGGAGAAATGCCTTATCTTGACCGTTGTAAATTGTTGAAATGGCCGTCTTTATCTGATCGTACAATTTACCTCTCTTTAATTAAGTGCTACAAGTTCGTCTTTGATTACTATCGTTTGAATTTTTATGATTTCTTAGAATTGTCAAAATTTGGGTCCACAAGAGCAAATCACCCGTTTAAATTGTATGTTAAAAGCGCAAGACTCAATTGTTATAATTATTCTTTTTTTATTAGAATAGTCCCAATATGGAACGATCTTTCAAGAAAGACATAGTACAGACTGAAAGCCTTTATCATTTTAAAAACCAGCTTCATCATTATCTACTTAATAAATTTTAAACTAGAACCATGTTTTAATTAACGTCTAGATGTTTGAATGATGGAATTGTATTTTCATATTTTTATTTTGCATTTTCTATTTCTGTTTGGGAGTTTTAATATAGGGCTAACTTATGAACTCCCTTTTAAAGATGTTTTTATTTAACACTATGTTTTTTTCCTGTAATTTAGCTTGTTTACATCTTGAATAAAGTTAGTATGTTATGTTATGTTATGTTATGTTGATGCTGCAAACGAATAGCTTGCCAGCTATAGAATCCACTAGGACCAGCGTGGGAATAATAAATGCGAGAAAATGGCGCTCATTAACCCAGTGTTCGCCGCTCGAGAAACATAACGATGAATTTAATGACAGAGAAGCAAGCAAAGATATTTTGTTTGAGATCGATAACGACTTCAAGTTTTTATCAATCGCGTTCGATGCCGCACGAACACAAGACCGTACAAGCTCAAAAGTCACCTCACTTTCTGAAATTAAGAAGTCTACACTAGGCTCTACCGTCTTCAGCTCAAAACATGCTTTAATGCGCAGACGCCACAGTGACGTCACAACGTTACTTGAACAAATACGAGAAAAACGACCTGAGAAACGCCGTTCTAGTTTGGGTATGATTCATCAGTCTAGCCCAAGAACATAAACAACCCAGCACAAAGTTTTTAGATGAGTCTGAATAATGAACAATCCTAACAACTGTGCATGCTCTTTGTTATCCAGACCGTTCCTATGAAAAACCGATACACAGTACCTCGGTATCGTAGGCTATCCTGAATATCATTTTGCTTCCATCCCTTATACTTACATTAAAACTCTACTTTACTATAAAGCACGTTGATTTCTGGTTTCACCTTAAGAGGAGAATGACTGCATGGTTAGGGCGCTAGATTTCAACTCGGCACCGTGGCAACTAGTCCAAACCCTGTTCTGAACACTAGCTGAGGCTCCTAACTCTGCCACGCTATTCTGTGCTGCGCTTGCGATAATTTTGCGCACCGAGAAGTGGAGGGGAGGAGGCAAGGGAGAGGGGGGTGGGGGAAAGGGCTGTGCCTACTTTTTGGAGGGCACAAGAACCTATTTCCCTTTCACGTGGTCATTAATAATTGTCAATTCTAACACTTGACTGCTTTCTCTTTATTTTCCTGGACTATGCGAAAGGGGTTCGTTCTTTACTCTTGGTTAAAGTGACAATTAACCGAGGGGGTTATCGGGAACGTAAATGCTGTAGTTGATTTGTATTTTCTCTTACAATGATTGTTAGAATTGCGATTCAAAGTTTGAACCGTCAACATTAGCCTTACATCTAGTCTTGTTTTACCTTGTCTTGTTTCCAACATGTCTAACTTTTCAATAAAACCTTAAGATATATACTCTTAGAGATAGTATTTCGTAAATTACAACACTACTGAGCTAAATAGCAACAAAAGTCAGTTTTTTCCCTCGATGTCATTCTGAAATTTCATCAAGAGGCTTTAAACATGTGATCGATCACGTGACATCTAGACAGCTCAATGCTTGTACCAGGCTCGCGCAGTTATGCAGACTCTTCCTCCTTGTTTTTTCACACCAGGGTTTGACAGGTCTTCTCCAAACCACACGCGTAGCTCTTGGTTCGTAGTAACATAAACGGGATTTGATGGGTCTGTAAGGATTATTTCCGGCGAGTTAGGGCCCACTTCCGGTTTGTCGTACCAGTAGGATCCCTTGTTGTCCTCGAGAAAAAAATGCGTCGGGAAGAGGGTGTCATTCCTGGGTGCCGTTGTTATGACGACGTTAAAAGGCGATCCGCCATGTACAGGATGACTGCGAGAGCAACCCCACATACTGTTGTATTGGGGAGAATTTCTCTCACATGAGCTTAGTCCACTGACGTGGGTTAATTTAATTGACATCAGAAAGCCCTCGATTGGTGCCACGAGGGTGGCATATTCGCTTCCACCCCCTCCAAAGCAGACAGCTCCTTTTGTCAAGTTCAGCCACTTTTCTGTGAAAAGATTAAACGAGTTAAATTAATTTAAGGTAAATGACACCGGCTACTTAGTGAAAATAGATCCTATACTTTGTTCATTGTAATTGACCTCAATTTGTTTAAGAAATTCGCCTTATCTGTATTCACACATTGGAAGTAGAACTAAGCTCATAGAGATATCAATCGCTTAAAGTTCAGACTTATTTTTAGTTCAGCTGCGTGGCTTCGGAGACTTCTGTTTTGATGTTTAATTTAGAACTGAAAGTGAACAAAGACTTGAACTTTGCTGTTGTTTTGCTGCCCGAAGCCTTTAGCTCGCATCATTCATCGATTTTTCGTTGACAATCGACCCGTGTACCCATCACTACAGTTTAACCAGAAACGAGCGATGGCGGCACATCTCCTCTTGCCGCGCGCCGTGGGTTAAAACGGCTGAGATCTGGAAAGGCGTAAATAAAAGCGAGAGGGTCCGTGTGAGATGAGAAAGTTCGAACCACTGCAAACTAGAGCCGAAAAAAGAAAAACAAAAAGGCAATATGCAAAAGTGACTGATATTAGCTCAATAAATCATTCACTTCTATTTTTCTTTTTCTCATGCGTTGAGAAAGGTCAACAGCAACTGAAAATGGTAAAGATTTTTTTTTGGCTTTTCATTAAGATTGTCTGGGTGGTATTACGCAAAAAAAGAAATACAAAAATAGGAATTTTGCGCATAATGGAAAAACCGCAGAAAAAATTTGGAGCGGATAGAAAAGCAATTCAACCAGTTAGGAAAAATCGAGTTTGTTATGATTACAAAATCCATGAATTGCAAGGGTTCCGTTTCTTTCAAATCAGCGAATTCTCATAATTTTTCTCATTGTTCCTAGTGCATCCATATTACTTGCTTTTTCGAAGGTTAACTCCACTCATGGAAAGAATTTGTAAAGATTTGTTTTAGAAAGTTTAAGAATCGCGAGACGTGGCGCATAGTCTCCTGATTTTGCTTTAGGATCCCAGCATCAGTTGCCCGATTTTCAAAAGTACAAGTTGGTTAAGTTTTACCGAAAAAATTTTTTCAGAGGAAATTCATTTTCTTTTTTCTCACATTTTTGTTATTAAAACTCTTCGAGATATCTAAAATGTCCCTTAATTAATAAAAGCAGCTTGCAATGTGCTTTTTGTGCGTGACTAAACTGCAGCAAACGTACCTTTTTCTTATTCAAAACAAAACCTCTTGAAGTCCTTTCCAAAAGAATTGCGCTCACTGACCAACACTCTTTCAATTCCCTTTAAAACATTCCGATGTATTAAACCATACGACTGAGATCCGTAGCATAAAATCGCAAAATAGCCGACCACGATTAGTACAACCAACGAATTTGAGGTCCTCATTTTTCGAGATCGGAACCGAGCCTCGAGATTAAAGCAAGTTCGTCAGTCTCTTGGGCAAGAAAAATTGACGTTGTCTTCGGTGGATGGACTTGAAACCGGAGCGCGTCAAGAGGTGATAATACCGTATGGTTAAAGTTTCACAAACTTATAATCGGACCAAGAATTTTACGGGGGCAGAGGTCTCAGATATTTTTACTAAAACTATAACGAAAAAAATAGCAAATAATAAGCGCGTGGGCGGTCTTTAAAGGATAATCTTCAGTTGCTATTGGGTTCATTTTAGTCCAGAGTAAATGGAAGAAAATTCGAGTCGGCTTCTTTAAAAGTCGTCTACAATGACCCAGTGAAAGAATGCCGGCCAAGTCACTGAGTTTAATCAAATTCACAGTTTAGAGTTACTTACATTCCTGAACTTTGAATTCGTTGAAGAATATCTCAACACGCTTGGACCTTTGTTTCTCACGACCGCGCTCGCTTTTCCTACAATGCGATCACGTCGAAATGTGAAAGTTTTCTGCTTGCATCAAAGGCAAACCAAGTAAGATTATAACCGAATGTAACCATGGAACAATCCATGCACTACTAAGTCTTAAGCAGCTTACTGCTTCAGCCTGTAATGCACCACCAAATCAAGCAGTTCCACAGGTCAGCGTTGAAATTCTGTGGAACTGTTGAGAAAAACGTATTATCTCAGCTTTCTTTCATATAACCTTGGCTGATCGCAGAGGCACCATTTCAAATGAAGCTTAAAATTCAAATTGCAGTTTCAGTACCCGGCTATTAGAACAGCTGGAACAACGTTCAAGTTTTTTCGTGTTCGCGGAGTCAAGCTAAGCTAGCTTTATACTGTTTGCAGTAAATGGTTTGAGAAGAAGAAGATAGGAAGAAGATAAGAAGATAGATATAAGAAGATAGAACACACCAAAGAGTATGTATTGTCAATGAACTAAAATTATAGGAGGTTCACTATAGAAGTGGTTCTTGAAATCTTTCTGAGCCTTTTAAGAGAGTTTCCTTTGGTTATAATTTCAAAAGATTATACTGGTGCAATTGTTAGCCCGTTAAAGCGTAAGCTTCTTAGAGAAAGGAACTGTTTGAGCCTCAGGTCTTTTGAGTGTTTAGAATTTTTCGGTAGAACTTGGCGATCAAAGAACCGGGCGCATTCATAACGAAGTTCCTTGTGTCTTGGGAGACTTCCTAAAACGTGCTTTTATCTTTGGGGGGTGTGTGAGGCTAAACCGATTGTAGCGTTCGCGAAATACACTTCGATTCGAAAGTGGTTAACACTTAGTTGGAAAGGGAGTATTTCCGTATTATTAACTCTAAACCAAGGCCCAATTTTTTCTCAAGAGAGGAGTTTCGAAGACAGAAAAGAAAAATTCGTCAAGATTTACTTTTTATTCCCTTTCGACAGTGCACCCATACGAACGGCTAGAAAATCGAACCAGTTGTCAGCGCAACCAAAGAAATATTGTACTTTGAAACTAAAAAGTTTTCGCTGCTGGATTTTTTAGGGAAACGTAAGATCAAGGTAGAGTCACACTGCTTTTTCTACGTTGACACAGACAATCAAAACTTCCCGTGCGATTAAGTTATATATATCTAGTCAGTTTAGGAAATTAGTTGGTATATATGCTGTCTACTTAACGGATTCCAAAACGGAATTCTCGCTTTTTCAGCAGTAGTCTTAACTTGCCTATTATCCGAAATATTTCCTTTGACAAAATTTGTTATTTCGAAACCCTTTTATCATGCAAACAGATATCAAAAAATTCTACAGCTATCTATTCTACTACACAGGATAAAAGGTGCTAATTCATCAGCGGAAACCGTCTAGGGAAACTGCAAAAGTCTTGCTGGTTAAAATCAGATGTCCTGCCAAAATTACATTCACACCCTTGCAAAATTTTTGTTAAACTGTAGTTGTAACTGTAGCCGTATGACTGTTATCATTGAAAATAAGTCGGATGAGCTCAGAATCGATAGCCAGTTTTTTCTTAAGGAAAACAAGTAAAAAAAATTAAAAGAAGAAAACTTTCTTCAGCTGACTGTAATCATGCAGTCGATTAGACTGTCTTAGAGACGTGCTGCTTGCAGAAAATACCGGAAATAAGCTTTTCGTCGTGAGAAGATAGTATCTTGTTCTGAAACAATTAAAATTTCCGCTACGTTGTTTTGTTTGCCAAGATTCTTTGAGTCTTTCCGTCTTTGCGCTCAATCTTCTCCTAATGTGGATAACTGACCTAGGATCTTGACACGCATTGCACGATAATAGCGTGCCAGTTCATGATATTGGCCTTAAATTGAAGCTAAGATTTAATTAAATTTGGTTAAGAGAAAAGGTGAAACAGCAACAAAAAAAAAAATTGAAATTTAGCTACGTTACGGAAACGGATGGTGGACCATTTCCCAGCCTCCAGGAGCGTACAGAGATGATTACATAAAACAAATCACGAATTGCTATATCTCGTCGTTTTGATTAGGTATATATCTCTTTACATGCTAGCGGAACAGGCTCTTATCTATTTTCATTTTTCAAGAAGTGTTTTTCCCTTTTCCCCTGCTTTTAAAGCGACCAAATGCTTCAATAAGTTTCATCATCATCTCCTGCTGACCGGTTCTTGGCCATTTTCCCAGACTCGGCGGCGATTGCTCCTTTAAAGTTATGAGTTCCCTCCTCCCCGAAACTGTCCGTCTCTCTCCACTTTAACTAATCCAGATTGAAAGTGCAAACGCCCTTGACCCATTGGGGACAGTCCTCCGCCATGCAGAATGCAGATGAAAAGATTTATTCTGTAACATTTCCGAAAGTATTTCGGCTGTGAGGCAATCAAGATTGCGTGCTTATTAAGGTCATTCTTTTCTGCTCTGCCTGTGGACTTATGTCTCCCACTCAGCTCTCTCCAACTGAGCGAAAGAAAAAATAACTTAGGCGTCATTTCTGGCAGACTGGAAAATCCAACTCTCCTCGTGCACACGAACAAGGAGATGCTTCATAAACTGACATTTTTATTATATCTCATCTTTGGGCTCGAAAAAGATACCCACAATCCATGCCTTAAGACCGTTTTTCAATGTCAAAGTAGAGAAAAAATTGTTCAGTATCTATAGTATTTCCATACAAGTTCGGAGAAGACGTCACGTGTTACCTATCAGTCCGCCCACATGCTATTTCTCTTTTACTTTCCTTATCTTACACCATTATCCCAAAACTTTCACGTAGGGAAGCTCACGATACTAGTTTTCACTGCGGCGCTAAAGATCAAAAAGCAATATTAACCCGATTTTGTTTAACAAGTTATAATTAAGGAACAAGTAGAGTTTGCGCGTACCGACAAGCATCCGCTATCAGATACAAAAAAGGTTTTACACACTGAATTAGGATCTTGACCTCCAATGTCTATCAGGAAATGTTGAACAATCCGAAATCTGAAAAAAACCACACCGCATTCAAATACCGAAAAAAAAAGTTTTATCCAGGTGCTTGTAGTGGTAATAACTTCTAGAGAGTTTTCTTCTTGAGGTGAGGCATGTAGGGATCATGAAATTATTTTTTAACAGATTATTCTGGAGTTGTGAAGATCTCGCCAGAATTCTCATGGAAGACTTCAGACGGTGCAATCTATATTGCATTACCCGCTAAGAAAAATCACAAGAAAGAAAGTTTAACCTTAGTTTTTTATTTTACTTTTATGACATTTGTCTTTGTGGTTACATTTTTGTCTGTTTGTATGTTTGTTTGCTTTTTACAATTTTACTACCAAAAAATCTAAAATTATTTTCTCTTGGAACGCAATTGGCATCCAAAACATGTCTTTCCTCTGTTGACATGGATGTGAAAAAACTTTTACATAATCTGTTAAAACCACTAATTAAAAAAATAACACGCTGTGAATACTTGATATACTGTTATTAAATATTTGTTACGCATGAAGCCCTCAAGTTCCTTTCCTGGAGCTTAAATTGGCTTCAGGATTTTTCAATAACTACGATAATTCAAATAGTTTTCTGAATAACTTCGCACCGCTTGCTCGCTTCTGTTGCGCAGAAAGTAATAAGACATAATAGTGAAATATTACTGTTCTGAATAAACATGGATCATTAAAAGATTTTTCAGCTTTGCCACATTGATTTTCTCCTCCTCGAGGAGGTAGAACGCTTTTTTCCCCTTTACTCACACTCGCGGAAACTTTATCAAATGATTGACGTATTTTTAAATTCTATCCTCGGTTTTAATGCCCGTGCACCAAAATCAATTTAACGCCGCCCTTTAATTTACCTCCCGTGCAATAATCCCCCTTCCAGACAAATCCGCTCTCATCCAATTTCAAAGGCTACGTGGTAACAGACGGATCTGCGCAATTTGTGTTGACCCGATGAAAACATTTTAACAATTGTAGGCGTCAATCGGGGTTTAAAAGCCTCGTCATAAACCCCCTCTTCATTTAACGCAGATACTTGTGATATCAAGAACGGGTTCAGTTCAGCGCCACCGGTGAAAAAACAGCGAACAATCCCTGCCTTCGACATGGCCAGATTTCTGTTGCTTTTAGGCGTGATTACTTCAGTCTTTTGTCAGGATGCAATGGCCGTTCAATTTTCCAAGCAACAAGAAAGTCAACTGAGGAATCTATTGAAAGAAGAAGCAGGTTCTTTTAGGAAGGGAATGCAAATGATGTGTCCCAAAAGTCCAGGTAAGCTGTAAAAAAGAAAACATATGAACTTCATATATTCATTGTAACCAAAAAAGAAAATGTCGTCTAGTTGCCTTGCTTATTAGACCGTTGTCGAACAATAACAATAGTTTTCATTCTCAAGGGATTTCCTTAAGGAGGCACGTCCAGAAAATAAGGGCGTTTAGGACCAGTTTCATTTACAAAAATTTCTGATTTGCTTTTTATTCTTGTTTGGTCTATTAAAAACATTTGTTGATTGTATTACTTTTAAATTTGTATAACACACCCAACCGAGGATAACAAGAAAACTTTCTCTCAGTTCAACTGAAACGTGTGCTCTACGATATTACGAAACTTGCATGCTCGCCAAATTCAAAGTTCATGATTGCCGAAAATAGAATTTTTGCCAGGTTGCCAAAATTATATTGTATTTGTTTTGTAGCTTATGTATTGGGCACGTTTCAAACGCTTAGTTTGCAATCCACTATTATCCTTTCCAATCTAAATTATTATCCCTCTCTTCTACCGCAATTGATACACCTAAGATTTGGTCAAGGTTCATATCAGTCGAGCGGTAACTCATTTGAAGTTAAATTTAGGATTGTAAATCGGACCGACTTGAGCTGCAATCAGGTGGGAATCGACACCAGATAAGATATACAAGAAGATTAAAAAATAACTGTATACTTTTGAGATGCCATGTTAAATTGACTTAAGAGAGAAAGATGTTTATTAGGGAGCCCTTCATTCGATAAATAGAGATGATATTCATTCATCGCGAGCGTGAGACAGGTAAAAAACTCAGAATTCCCACGAGAAAGAGAGCTTCAGATCGGCAGATTTTGCAGCCAGATTCTCTATCATTGAGCTTCAAAGCCATCGATTGAGAGCTAAGCCCTTTAAGGGTTTTTGTTCGACAAGCGTCTTGAATACTCAAGGATCAATAATGTGAAAAAATTGGCTTCTCTCAAGATCTGCAAACACTTGTAAAATGCCGAGGCAGGGCATGGGCTGTTAAGACGGTTTCCTGGAAAAACTGGATCAAGGATCACCGGATCAAGGATCAGTTCAAAATAAATCATACAAATTAATTAGATTAATAGGCATGATTGATTGCTCATCTACGCGACTCAGTTAAGATCTCCCAAATGTTAAAGCGAAAATAAGAGAAAATACTAAATACTGAAAAAACCATACCACTTTGTGGATTTGACACTTCACTTTGTTGAGGCTGTGACTGGCACTTGCCACTCGTCCATTGTCTATTTGCACAAACGCAATCAATCTCCGACACTTTGTTCGCCTTTCAAATTTTTACTGACAATCAAAGTCTAAGAAGCTCAGAATGAAATGATGGTTGTGAAACAACATGCTGCGACAACGACAACCATTCCGGATTTCCGTTTTCTAGCAGTTTGAAAGAGAATTGCAAAATCTTTGAACCATATTCAGAGGGGGCCTTCCCGAACTCTTCTTGGGTAAAGAAATTAACCAGACGATGCGAAGATCAACGGAAAAGCTATTACCAGCTTTATCTACCACCCTGTTTAGCTTTTATGAAAATAGAAAAAAAAAAAACATGACCTGACTTTTTCATTTTGTTTTCAGGTCAATGGCAAAGACTGAATGTGACTAACGCCTGCTTCAGTGCAAAGGACAAAAAACATGGAAGCTTCATTATTCCGCTGGAGGGATTTGTCGTCGCTCTCAAAGTTGTCCATACCAGTGGCAGAGTCACGTGCGAGAAAGACAGGTGTCATGCAAATCACGGACAAGGTTCATTTTATAGCAAATGGGGTTGCTCAGCAAGTCATCCCTATATCGGCAGTACCCCCTTGGGGACCTTCATTACTTTGCCGTCCAAACAAGTCATATTCCCACGTGAAAAGTTCATCCGCGACAAGGCTTTGTCTGCCTGGTACGCACTCCCGGGATTCGATCCAGAATCCCCTTTCATCGTTTTCCACGACTTCTCCAATCCAGAATATTTCCCCCGTGGCCAAGTGCTTCAACTGTGGTACGGCGAAGTGCTCAAAGACGTCAGTGTAAAGGACAATCACGGAGAAACATGCGCAGAAGTTTATGCCTGGTATCTCTAAAGGACTGGAGTCGAACTTTAATGAACTTTATTGCAATGACTTTTAAAACTTTGCAGGGACTGATTTGAAGTGTCCCGACCTTGCGACACTGACCCAAAACTTTCTAAATTCATCATTTCCACTCTTCTTCATCAGAAACCGTCTTTGTTGTTTTCAGTTTTAACCTTCCCAAATCAATTTAATTTGGCATTTTTTCTCTCTTGCCAGTGTAATATTTTGTGGTTCTTTATGTGATGGAGACAATTTTTCAGGACGAATGAAGTGATTAACATTTTCAACTTCTGTGGCAACTTGAATCGTGTAAAGTCGTAAATTAATTCGAGAAATTTTCGATCGATATTTTCCTAACAGAGAAAGGATCAATGAAGGTCGGCGCCGCATTGTTGTAAAGTTCGTGCAGTTGCGCATGTATTCTCACTTCCCAAGCTGCTTTGCCAAAAAGAACGGTCCCGCAATATTAAGCAAAAAATCAAAGTCACAATTTTCGCATGTCTCTCTAACTTTTTAATTTTTAAGTCATTTAATTGCAGCAATTTGAGAAAATCGGCTTACCCAATGATCACATTAGACACGAAAAAAGTTGCCGCGAAAGTTGTAAATCCTCTGGCACTAAAGTATGATTAACCTCGCGGAGTTATATTGCAGTTTCTGATTAGAAGATTGAAGCTATAAGATTATAGGATTGGTGCAAGCAAGAGGGATTAACTGTTTCATGAGTACCGTTTGAAAACAAAAAAAAAAAAGCCGCATTATTCAAGATGTTTTTGTTTTAGCTTTGATAAGGAGTAATCTTCGTGAGAACAAAGAAGAGTTTTCGGTTACCGCGAATTACGGGGAAGCTTTTCTAAAAGGGCCGTCAATGACTGCTTCATAGAGAACTGTCGGCATACGTTCAGAGGTCTGGTTAAGATCAGTTTTATTCCCCGAGACCAATCGATACAATGCTTCAAATTTAAATTGATACTTAACTTAATTACCACAAATAGATGGATTACGTACGGTGTTAAAATTCAGTACAGCTTGGAGTTAAGCAGAAGCTTGTATACTTCTAAATAGATCAAATGGGTCAAATTGGAGGCGGTGAAATTAAGCTGAGGGAGCTTAATCGAGAAAAATTGCAACATGAATAAAGGGGTAAGTTTCTAAAGAAACTATGATGCTGCGTCGGTGGGGATGTCACAAGATAATTTGATTTTATCAACTGAGTTCAGTGATAATGTAAATTGGCCGACGTTAAGAGTTCTTAAATTTGTCGTTTAGAGCGTTAGCCCTTCGTCAGAGCGCTGCAATGTCGGAGTTTCATTTCAATCAATTCAATCCCGTTGAGGAACACACTTACTCCGACCATCTTAGATAAATAACAAAGCTTTAGATTCTCAAAGCGTTGAGAACGATAATTTGTCTTTAGTTCCTCGAGGAGGTAGAAAAATTGACATCATTCTTTGCACACATTATCCTTGACATTTTAAAAAACGGCCGTTGTAAACAAGGAAGATAAATGATTCTATTAGCTGCAGCACATCTTGCTTGCTAACTTTACATAAACATTTACCCTAGGGAACGGAAATCCTATAAAAAAATATAGGATTCGATTCGCGGATAACATTCATTAGTCGTAAAAATGTTGAGCCTCAATAATAGTTTAACGACTGCCGAAGAATAATTTTTAAGTATGACGTATATGATAGCGGCAAATGGCATAAAATGAACTCATATCTATTTCACTTTTCCTCTAATCTGTCTAGCATCGACGCTACAGAAAAATCGCCAAAAAATTTTCTCGTTCACAAATAATGGAAATATAATAACAGCTAGAAGCGGAAGGCAAGACGTTTCTTTTACTGACCCTGTTTAATACTCAGCGTAAGCCAACTGAGCTTATTCAATGTTCCCTTATCCGCTCCTCCTGATCTAAATTGAATGAAATATGAAGGATACGATTTCTAGTAAATTAGTTATACCAAGAAGGAGATCCAAACGAAAAACACACATTTAATTACTATTTTCAAAACTGTCCTAACCCAACTCTCGCCTGTCATGAGAGGCACCTACTGTCATCGCCGGTTATTCATCCTGTGATAAAATTTATTATTACTTTGTTCCTTTCTGACATTTAAATAAGGTGGACTTCCCCTCACTTGATAATTAGTCTCTTAACCAATCAGGGGAATCGAAAACTGGCTAATACCGGTAGTTAAATGTCTTATTCGACAATGAAAAAGATCTGATGATCTCTGCTTCAATTCGTCACCAGAAGTTTTGATTTAAATACCCCTCGATGTAAAACCTTTTCATGCACACTGAAAAGAAGAGGTGAATTTTGTTCACTAAAGTCAGGTAATTTCAAAATGGCAAATCAAGGCGAAAATGGAAAACCGATGATTCGATCGTCTTTATCGTCGCGAAGCAGACGATTTAGATTTTTCCTCATTTGTGGGAATTGCGACGTGGTTTCGGTAGCAGACAACGTGGAGAAGAATAAAACTGGTGCCCAGGAAGAGAAAAGCGTCATCGCAGTGAGTGAAAATCACAGCGAAGACAAACACGGAACGCATTTGGAGCGACCATTCCTAGATTTACGAGTGGAGAGAGATGAACTAAAAAGTACAGAATTACAAGACCAAGATAAACGTCAGGGATTTCATCACAGAGCGTTCGATCATATAGAACATGATGCAAAAAGTCTAGGAATTGAGAAGACATGTTGCAGAAGTGACCACGACGGCAGAAATTCTCAGGAGAAATTAGACGAGACACAACAATCACATCGTGCTGCAGAAGCGTCTTTACAACTGCACGAGCCTGACAAGAGTAAGCGAGGTAGAGGAGAAGACACGATGCAAGGAAAGGCTGCTTGCATCAGACCAAACCTCACAAGACAGCGAGTTGTAGGCTCAGTTGACTCGTTGCAGAGAAAAGGGCAGCTTGTCGATGAACCTGAAATCTCGACCACAACAATCACCGAGAATTCTCCGAACGGCGAGAACCAAGCCTCCAGCACGACTAAACTTAAAACTGATGGTGTTGCGCCCCATCCCTCTCGGGTTGAAGAAGAGCAATCGACTCGGGGTTCATCAATTAGTCGGTGGAAACGAGTCGCAGCGCTCAAATGGAAAATGAACAAAGTTGATGTCAAGAAAATCGAGAGAGACGCCGCTACAGCTAATGAAGAATACGAGATGATGCTAGAGAACCTAACCCTCTACGGGGTCTTATGAAAAAATATCAAGCTCAGGCAAACAAACAAAAACGAGGATTCTAAACATAAACACTCGAATACTCTTGTGTTAGCTTCATAACCGACTAAGTCAACAGTTTTTTTATACGACAACTGAGTTTTAAGTTAATGACCTTTCTTCTCGATTTGCTCCGTAGGCCGCTATTCCTCCCAGTATGCAACGCGCTATTGTCACGTGAGAACCTTTAGAATTAGAGGGTTGGGCAGCTAGAGTTGGTTATCTGACGATGGGTCCGTGGTTAGATTTCGTACAGAACCCGCACTTCGTCGTTAATCTTTTTCTTAAGCAATACAAATTATTACAGTGACCTTTTAAATGCCTTACTCCTTGGTTAATCATGTTCTGAAACGGTATGCAAATAGTGGATATAACGCCCCTTCAACAACTTCATTTTCCGTACTGAGAACAAACTTCTGCCCACAAACTTCACAATCGAACAACAACACTTAACCCTTTTTGGCGAAAAACATATGCAAAAACCAAAGAATATCATAACAGGATAGTAAAACTTTATGGTCGAAAGTTTGAGAATGATTTTTTAATTAGTCACGGACTCCTGTACACAAACTTTGCTTCTATACAAAAATAGTTATTCTTCAGCACATTGTGCTCCAGAATTTGAATAAATATAACATTTTAAAATGGAAGCGCGCGAACGGGAGAAAGGAAACATGACAAGTGTTTATTTGGGAATTTGGCACGTTCCAAAAGGCGCTAAGACGAGCGTATTTGATGAACACGTTTACAACTGTCTTTGTACAAAACGGAAAATCTAACAGCCCAAATAAGCAACACTGCTCATTTTTTCTTTCCTTTGGGAGCACTTTTCCTTCCCCCTTTGGCAGTAGAAGCACTCTTTCGACCCTTACTCGGTGACGGAGATCGTTCTCTTTCTTTCGCTGCCTCAGCCGCTTGCGCTTCCTCCTTCTGTTTCTCCGCCTCTAAGAACTTTTGTCTGTACGCTTCCCGTTTCTGGTTGACCTCGCTCCGCCATTTGTCGGTAGCGGCCTAGCGAGATAAAGGAACAAGCAGATGAGCAACTGACGGGGAAGGGAGAGAGGGAGTTCAGAAAAATAAAAGAAATGAAAAGGGTAGGGTGAGAGAAAGATACAGAGGTGAGATGGAGGGAGGCTGGGGCGAGAGAGCGAATGAAATGGAGCGCCGGAGAAAGATGAAAAAGAGATAGAAAGGAAGAAGGTGGGAAAGGAAAAGAGGAGAAATGCAAGGAGGCAGAGGGAAAAAGTAAGCGAGTAGGGGAAGGAATGACGCGGGCGGAATGAACCTGGGTGAGAGGACGAGACAGAGAGAAACAAAGGTTACCAGACACAAATAGAGAGAAGCCGGAGAGGCAGAATCGAAAAGGCAAAGGTTGATTGTACCTGTAGTTCTTCGGCTTCCTGTAACTGTCTCTCTTTAGCAGCGTTTCTGTCCAGTCTATCCTGCTCTCGTCTGTTTTCAACTTCTTTACGCTGAGCTTTAAAAGCTTGCAGTATTTCCTTTCGTTCCAGCAGCCTTCTTTCTATTTCTTCCTCATCCAACAACACGGAAACTCCGCCTCGTGACCTGATTAAGACAACAAGCGAGTTTAGCCACAATATTACGTATGGGGTTTTATTATGGCCCGTTATCGAACGGATAAAAATGCCACACAAAAAAATAACATCCATTACTTTATTGTAATAGAATAAACCCGTGGGGAAAAAAACAAGCACTACAGATCTTACCTGATGGTCTTAGGTTGAGAAAGTGGCTGGAGAATATGATCCGGCTCCTTGGGGGGTGGCACTAAGGTCAATTCTCCTTGATCTGACTCAGACTGCACCGGTGACGTCACTGTCACTGAAATGGGACGAAAAATGGGAAACTGAGAAGCTGTGAAAGGTGGTAATACTCGAAGAATTTGAATCACTTTATCTCGTTATAAAATAACTTAGAAACTACTAATACCCCGATTGGTCAAAATATATCATTTAAACGGTAAGCCAATAGAAGTCTATTTTATAATGGCAATGGACAGCTCTTTCTATTGGTTGACCAGTATAATAACCCACTTTGGGAGAATTCGAGAACAGTTTGTAAATCACTCGCCTCCGGGTCGTGATTTTTAAACTTTTCTGTGTTTTTTTTTTCAACATCCAGCGTGGGATATGAGGCCAGAAACCCGATAGAAAGTGTCGGTGTTCGATTGTTTAAATATACAGAGCAAACTCACGTATTTCACTCGAAGCAGTAACATCTTTCTCTTCTTGTTGCTCCTCATCGCCGGTCTCTTCCTCGATTGCTTCTTTTCCCATTTTAACCATATGTTCGTTCAAAAACTTTTGACGGCTTTGTTGAGCCTTGAGAAGACACAGGAAATCATCTTAGAATATCATCATATATCACGACGTAATTCAGAATGGTGTAATGTTTGGGTAACTTATTTTTCAGACTTTATTTTTTTTAAATCTAATAACAAGTCATGGCCCTACCTTCGCAGCTCTGCCCGGTTCAGCGGCTTCCCAAGCTAGCTTCATGGCCTTTATTTCATCTTGCCTTTCTGTGTCCTTCTTGACCTCAATCTCCTCCTGCAAGGCAAAGCAACAAACAGCAATTTCAGTTTCTAATGACAAAACAACCACCTCAATCTGTGCGCCTTTAGCGCCTCTCCGTTCACAATACTTTTGATTAAAATGCCGCAACGGCGAACAAAAGGAAACAAACCAAGGAAAACTTACAGCACTCGCATCAGAAACGATCCTGAGTGTCCAATTAGGTTTGCTGGAGTCGAATTGTTGCTGAAAGAAAAAAATTCAATAGAAGTTGATGAATTTCTTGAGGGCAATTAATAAAAACAATCAATGAAGCTCTCAAAGTTACAATCTGTTCACCGCCTAATTGACCACGACATAATACATTGCTGTCATCTCTTCACAAACGTCCTTTTCCTGGGATGGATGTTCCTAAATCGTAAAATGTGAGCATTTCCTAATACACCTTCACCATTTACCTGTGACGATGGTCTTGATCCAGCCTGTCCCTTACTCGAGCGACTTTCTTTACCTTCCTTGCTTTTCTTACCTTTGGACACACTTGCAGATAGTTTATCTCCCCGTGGGGCGCTTTCCGCGGGTACTAAAAATAGTAATAAGACGCATTTTCATAAGACCCGTCCAGCCCCGCTCGCGCAATCCCATAGAAAACCATAGAGAAAGCTGACGTGTGCAGGACCAAACAGGTTGACGCGCGCCGGTCCGGAAAAGCCGTCCGGCCCAAGTGCACTTGTTTGGCGACAATGTTCGCTGTTGTTGCAAAAAACGAGTGACAGCAGTGAACAGAATGAGAAAATAAGTATTGCTTTTCGATTAAGTGTGAGATTCTTGTTCTGACTCGAAAAAATAAAAGAAGATTTTTATTGTGGAATCTTTTTTTGTGATTTTCCCGCGCCTGCCAGTCTATCGCGTCCTATTTAAGTTAAAACAAACTTTTCGAATTTTTCAAAACATAACAGTTAGGTTGAGCCAAACGGGAAAATATTTGGCCCTGGTTCAAAAAATGTTTTCCAGTCCTTCTCGTCTGGGCTGCCCGCACTATATATCAACTACGAAGAAAAAAACTTTACCAGAGGGTAGAACAAGAAAAACCCACAAATGCAAAGATACCTTCAACATCTAGTCTGTCGAGGCTCATGACCATGGCAACAAATTCCCAAGCGCTCTTGGACAACGGCCAACTGTCGCGTAGTACCTGGGCCTGAATTATGTACTTGTGCATCTAAAACAAAAGTAAAATCAGTGAGCCCTAAGTGCATTTGCTCTGAGACAACTCGGCGAACTGTTAGTGATACCCGTTTGGGTAGCAAATGCGAAATAGTACCATAACTTCAGACCGGAACGTTAGAATGGTTTAATGCTGTGTGGACTACACAGATTACAAGACAAACGCGAATGATCGGGTGGTAACGATGTAAATATTTTGAAGATGGGAAGTAAGAGGCGACCTTTGAGGAGTGCAATCAAACCACAAACCTTGATTTCGGGCTCTGTATCTTCGGTTTCTTCGTCTTCTTTGTCTTCGGAGTCGTCGCAAAGGAGAACCCGAGAGCCTTTCTGCTAAAAGGCAAAGGAAAGTGATTAAATTTAATTCACGTCCCACCGCCTGTGTGAGGATGTTATTGTAAGAATCTAGTTTTACTTCGTGTGTGATCTTTCGACGGAACAACAAGAACCGCCAGTATTCAAGGTAAGTTCGAGAATTCAACATTAAAAAGGATCTGTGGAACGTTACATATCAGCTGAAATGTCTGCACGAGTTTGGGCACCAGGTCACTCACCGATGATCCTGGCCGTGAGGAGTTACTAGACTCCTTTCCACTCTTCTTACCACCCTTCCCTTGCATGGGAGATGCTACTGCTTTGCGGCTTCCTGACGAAGGTCTCTTGGCCGAGCGGGGGTGGGACGAGGTAGGAGGGCGCGAACCTGGAAACAAAGACAACAAAAGAAACTTAATAACATTCAAGTCTCGTCCCAAACTAGTATAGATCCAAGATGGCGGACACTCCAATCGGAGCGGCCGCCATCTGGGACATAGGACATCTATTGTGTAAATTGCAAAAGAAAGACTAGTTTAACAAGACAAGAAAATTACGCAATATTGAACATTTTTTACTTTCTTACCTCGTCTTTGTTTTTCATCTTCATCGCCTGTACGATCACGGTAAAAAGTGAAAGCAGGGATGACTGCGTGACTCTTCCCGGTCGTGCTACATACCTCCTGTTCATGATCCAAAATCTGTGCAAGAAAACGAAGTGTTTATAACTCGCCTGGTTGACAAATTATAAACATAAGTCAAGCAACGTTGGGATCAATTCCAGTATCTGCGCACCCACCCCTCCCCTAAGCCAACATTAACCCCAGCTTTTTATTAGTTGACTGTTGTTGGGTTAGGGGGGGAGGAGTGGGTGCGCATTTACTAAGCTGCAAGCCTTTTTCAAGGAAGTGAAATGCTTCCTTATCAGTTTACCTGTAGCTTGATGTACACGTCTGGTTTGGACGTCCCCAGCTGCAAGCTCGCCATGTGATCCTCTTGGACCTTGACTGTGTACCTAGCACAGAGTACAGAAAATAAGGTACTTTGTACGCATCAACACAAAGGCCCTTTTTGTTCCCTTTTAATGCACTTCCCGGCATTAAACTACCAGTGGAATCTGATTGTAGTGTTGTGCTGAACAGGTCAGCGGCTGGGGACAGTAACTAACACAGTCACGTAAAAAGTTATTCGTCATTCGAGTTCTGACCAGTCACTACCCAGGCACTACCCAGGCACTACCAAGATTTTAAGTGCTTTTAACTATTGTTATGTTTTAAACGCTGTAGTCAATTTACTTAGAGATAAATAATGTAAATCATTTTTATTATTCTTACTGTATATTTTGTCTAGAGAACTCTTTAACCCCTCACTCGGCAAAGTGTGAAGCTATGCTGTTGATGACGAAACCGCACATCGGGCCACTAAATTCGGTGACAATTGGGGAGGATTGGATCGAGTGGGTGAAACACTCTCGTCTTTTGGGTGTTACTATCGACGAGAGACTTTCATGGACCCACCACCTTACTAATGTAAAAAAGAATTTTGTAAACAAACTTTGTCTATTGAAAAGGAGTCCGTTCTTGAACAGAAACGCCCGATTGGACTTATACTTCAAGATAATACTACCATCAGTTCTATACGGACTAGTCGTCTGGGGCGGCTGCCCTAATGCAGAGCTTCTACATTCGCTAGAAGTACTT